CTTTTTCTAACCAGGTGGTTAAAAGGTTTCTTACTGGTTTGGAGAAATTGTACCCCTCGGTGAGGGCTCCATACCCTGAATGGAACCTTAACCTGGTCCTTCACAGGCTGATGTCCCCTCCTTTCAAGCCTTTGGCTACATGCTCACTGAAGCACCTTTCATTGAAGGTTGCTTTCATAGTAGCCATTACGTCTGCTAGAAGGGTATCAGAGTTAAGGGTGCTGACTATAGAGCCGCCCTACCTTGTTTTTTCACATGATGACGTAAGGCTACGGCCTCATCCAACCTTCCTCCCGAAGGTGGTTTCTCCTTTTCACCTATCTCAGGAGATTTATTTACCGGTGTTCTTCCCTAAACCTCACGCATCCCCTAAGGAGCGTGTTCTACACTCCCTGGATGCCAAGCGAGCGCTGGCTTTTTATATTGACCGAACCAAGCCCTTCTGTAAATCCCAACAATTGTTCGTTGCATTTGGGGATAAGGGAAAAGATTCACCTATTTCCACGCAAAGGTTATCAAGATGGGTGGTGCAATGTATAGAAGAGTGTTATCAACTGGCTGGAAAAACCCCACCCAGGGTGAAGGCACACTCTACCAGGGTGCAGGCGTCCTCGGTAGCCTTTGGTGCCCAAATACCTATCTCAGAAATTTGCAGGGCAGCCACCTGGTCTTCCCTCCACACGTTTGCAACACATTATGTGCTACCTTAACAGGCCAGGGAGGATGCAAGGGTGGGCTCTGCATCCTCGAATCTGGGATGTAAATATGTAAATATATAGATCTGGTTGTCTTTGTTCAGGGTTGGTGACTTGTCACTGTTTATTTGTTCAAATAAATCTGTTATTGTTCACCTTCCTTTATGACTCTGGTGCTATGACTGTTCCGACCCCTCCTCCTTGGGGTTAGCTTGGTAGTCACCTACTTCGAATGGACATGAGCAACACATCTCGAAGAACAACAGTTACAGGTAAGTAACCGTTCTTTTTTAGCTTTTGGGAAAACCACAGACACTGCATTGCTTACGGTGCCGCGTGCTGACGTGAAAGGCCTGTGTGTTTTTCTAGATACCATGCTGAAGCACTTGCGAGCTATGGATGCCATGAAGAATTTCTCTGAGTTCCGTCAGGAAGCCAGCATGCTCCACTCCTTGCAACACCCCTGCATTGTTTCCTTGATCGGGATTAATATCCATCCTCTCGGCTTTGCTTTAGAGTTGGCCCCCTTGGGAAGTCTCACAACTGTGTTGTCTGGAAAGTCCAAAGGTAACAGCTAAACGTGCACCCTGAAAATAATGCAATCCCTATATCACAGTGTGAGCAGATGGCCTGAAACACTGAAGCTATTTTTTGAGAAGTAGAGAAAGAAAATGTTTTTTCCAAGTTGGGTAGGCAGTAATGGAATTTCTCTCATGCTGAGATTTTGGCAGGCTCTCATGAAAACTGCCATTTGGGCTGAGCAATCTATCTAAGACATTTATATGCCAATTCCCGTTAAAATTAATGGGAATTGGCTGTCCAAATCTCATTTTAATTCTGCACGTGCAATTTCCTCCTGAAAGTCAGATATTTTGAGATCTAAATGCTATTCTAGTACCTATAATTTTGTTCAATTAATGGCATAAAATCCAGAAATGGGATTAGACCCCTTTAACAACTTGGCCCCATCTGTATATCAGCACTTTGTCTAGTTTCAGCCCAACATTTAATTTTACAAGAGCGTTATGAACTACTGAAATTAAGCGGTTCATAGTAAGGGATTCAAATTAACCTGGCAGAATTCTGTAAGGTGAACTGTGCCAATTCACATCATCCCATTCAGAGTAACATGTTAAGAAGTAGATTGTCATTCTTATGAAAATTTTCTCTACTAAACCTAGCATTTCTCGTTTATAACAGAGGCTTCCTTTGTGCCACTGGGGCATATGCTGACCCAGAAAATAGCGTATCAAATTGCAACAGGCCTTGCCTACCTGCATAAGAAGAACATCATATTCTGTGACCTAAAATCTGACAATATTTTAGTGTGGTCCCTGGATATTAAAGAGCATGTCAACATCAAACTGTCTGACTATGGGATTTCTAGACAGTCATTCCATGAAGGAGCTCTTGGAGTGGAAGGCACTCCTGGTTACCAAGCCCCAGAGATTAGGCCTCGAATCGTCTATGATGAAAAGGTAATTAAGAAATTTCTATTGAAGAGGCACATTTCTCATCTGTAACCCGATGAGAAAGATGCTCACCAAGACCCTTAATGTAGCTTTCTCACACCTGCTGACAAAAACCAAGGTTTTCAGAAATAGGTGTCTAAAGTTGTGCTCCTGAATCCATATTTAGGCATGTAGGCAAATAGCTTGATTTTTCAGAGGTGCCCGACAACTTCCCATCAGTGGGAGCTGCAAGTTGTTCAGCACCTCTGAAAAATCAGGCCATTTATTTAGTTGCCTAACTATGGATTTAGGAATCTTAATTTGAGGCACCCACTTCTAAAAATGCTGGCCCAAATAGAGATCTGATTAAATAGAATTGCTGGGGAGGAAACTTTCTGTGTCATTGTGTTAACTGTCCACGAGACCAAAGCAAGACATATGCATACTGGACTCTGTATTCGTAACACCAACTGCAACTAGATGGGAAACGTCTGTATGTGCCAGGAAAGATTCCGTGGGAACACAGCTATTTGGACTCTTCATTTAGGTCAATTCATTCTTTCTAGAAGAAATTAGCCAGCCTAACAGCTATGCAAACGCTTAAGAGGGGCATAAGCCTGGCCCCTCCACACAGGAGTGCATACATATCCTTAATATCCTGCTGATTTTGTTGTACTGCTTAATGCTTGTTTTTATGTATTGTTTGGTTTCCATCACTGCTGTCGATATTATATCTCAAATTCTAGAAAACAATAAAACTCCCTTCAAAAAATAAATAAATAGCCATACCTCATCCTCATCCATGAGGGGAGTTTTGTGCTTAACTGTGTGATATTTGCCTTAGGTGGACATGTTTTCCTATGGAATGGTCCTGTATGAACTGTTGTCTGGACAGCGCCCTGTGCTTGGACAACATCAGCTTCAGATTGCTAAGAAGCTGTCCAAAGGGATCCGTCCCATTCTGGGGCAGCCGGGGGAAGTGCAGTTCTACAGGATGCAGACACTTATGATGGAATGTTGGGACACTAAGCCAGAAAAGGTACAAGACAGGGATGACAATTGGTACTTTTTGACCATTTATCTACTGCTTGTAACAGAGGCCATCCTGCAGCACCCTCTCCTACATGCTAACGGCCAGATTCTCAGCTGGTGTAAATGGATACTACTCAAGTGACATCAATGGCAGGCCACACATTTATACCTGCTGGTAGTTGGGACCTAACTTCCATTGACTTTAGTATGGGTTTCATGAATGGAGTCTCTGTATGCTTACCCTTAAGGTGAAATCATGGTCCAAAGAAATCAATGGCAAAACTCTCATTGACTTCAGTGGGGCAAGAGTCCACCCTTAATTACTAAAAACCACTGATGTGTCATGCTGTGAATACAGCTAGAAGAAATTCAGCAGCTTTGAAAAGAAGGCACCATGGGTCGGAAAAGGATTTCAAATATAAAAGGAGATTACATTGTGCTACATCTTACATCTTTCTGTAATTACGTACAGACACTTATACTCTCTGATAAGTGTGGCTGTCTTCTCTAAATGCTGAAAGAGCAAGAGAATCATAGATAAAATCATAATGGGGAAAGCAAGGAAGAGGAGTGGAAGGAGAGAGATCTGCCTTGATTCTTGTTATTTATGTTTCTTTTACACTGAAGTGCAAAACTCAGGCAACAGCCGTGGGACATATTTTGAAAGAAGTTTAAGGGATTTGGGTGCAAATTTGAGCACCTAACTCTCCTAGGTTCTTTTCAGATCCCCAGCATAAACTATAGATGTTATAAACAGTAATTATTATAAATGTATTGTTAATTCTTGACCTGCAAAATACATGTCATTCAGTGTATTTGTGGCTTTTTTTTTCTTCAGCGCCCATTGGCCATTTCTGTTGTAGGACAGTTGAAAGATCCTACCTTTCCTACTTTCATGTACCTGCTGTGTTGTGGGAAGCAATCTTCCTTCTTCTCTTCCCAAGGACAAGAGTACACTGTGGTATTCTGGGACGGGAAGGAAGATACCAGGTAGAGAGCTTGTTTTTATCCCTTAAACTTCTTTTCATCCTTTTTGATTTAACATAGATACTTTCAACGTAGCACTCGTACCAGGGGGCCATAGGGAAGGAAAGTGAAAGTGAATTAGGAGCACTTCCAAAAATACATAGAACACTATTTTCCCAGACTGCTTTAACTAGTAATCTGTCAGTGATTATTTCAGAATGAATATTACTGAGCTTAACTCAGCTTCAAATTATCAGGTTTAGGAGCCTGTAATAATGGATGGAGTATTGGCACATGAGACTAGATCTGATCTTCTTTTGCTAATGAGGCCATTTGACACTAAACTTTTCCTAACTGAGGGACCGATTCAGCATTCCAGGCCTATTCAGCAAAGCACTTAAGCCTGTGTTTAAGTCCAATTGAAATAATTGGACTTAACCCCATGCCTTAAGTTTAGTATATACTTAAGTTTTTTACTGAATAGGAATGGACTTAATAAGCAAGTGCTTAAATGGGACCTGATGCTGGTGTTTGATTCAAGAACATGCTTCTTACTGCTGGTCAAACTGCCTTTTATGAATAATATTCATTATGAATTTGTAACCCCTTTTTGTATTTGCAAACCATTCATCAGCTGATCCTGATTTTCTAGGCAGATATTCGCTATTAGCAAGTATTTGCAAAATGGTAGGGGTAAATAATTTTGGTTCTGCATGTTAGTCATGAACTGTTTACTTTCACTCTGTGTCATTCATGCCATTTGGTTGGTTGGTTGCTTAAGCCTTATGGTATTTATTTCTGCTCTCTGATTGGATAACTAAACCATTTTAGATAGGTGAGTAACAGGATATGCACATCTGGAAACATTTCAGAACATATAGCTATTCATGCTAAAATAGGTGCAACTTCTGGGTTTCATAGACATATTTTTGAATACTCATGGTTTGTTAAAAAACCTATTGAAATGTGACCCCCAGTGAAACAAACGTACTGCTTTTATTCACTAAAATATTCATTAATCAAATGTTTTAAAATTATTTTACCATCTCAAGGATCTTTAGCCTTTCTTGATGTGTCACTTCTTTTATTTAGGCAGCAAAATAATCAGAGTAACAAGACAATTGCTGAAGTACACTTTGCGAGAAAGTAGCAGAAAGCACTTCAAAGTGTCTGAATTTTCTCCCTCTATGATATACTTCCGCTTTCCCCAAAAAAGATTAAGAGCATTTTGTTCATCTGCAGGATGATGGATAGCTCGCGAGCCGACCATATGTGTGACCCAGTCAAACACATTAGGTGATCTCCAAATTGTACAATGCAAACACATTAATTGCAATTACCTGTTAATGCTGTTTTACTATTGGCATCGTTGCTGTAACAAATTACATTTCCTCCGTTCAGAAACTACACGGTGGTGAATACAGAGAAAGGACTCATAGAAGTGGAGAGAATGAGCTGCCCAGGAATGAAGTTATGCTGCCAGTTAAAAATTCAGAGTGCCCTATGGACTGCCACAGAGGTAAATGTTATCCGAAAGTTGAGCGCTCTTCTTGTTAGTTGTGTGCACTTCATAAACTCATAGACTTTAAGGTCAGAAGCGACCATTTTGATCATCTAGTCTGACCTCCTGCACAATGCAGGCCACAGAATCTCACCCACCCACTGCTAGAATAATCTTCTCACCTGTATCTCAGATATTGAAGTCCTTGAAACGATGGTTCAAAGACCCCAAGATGCAGAGAATCCTCCCGCTAGTGACCCGTGCCCCATGCTACAGAGGAAGGCGAAAAACCTCCAGGGCTTCCTTTCCCTGTTGGAAAAATCTTTTCTGTGTGTGTTCTAAAGAAACATGGACTTAGCTTAATAAATTAGTAATGTAAAGCTCAGAGAATCAGTACAACAATGAGTGTCTCCAATGGGAAGTCAAACTTCACATCTGCTTTCTCACTGGTGTATTGTTTCCACCGGTCATTAGCTAGTATTTAGAGCAGGGGTGGGCAACAAAATGGCTTAGCCCCTGGTGGGCTGCTGCCGCTATATTTATCTGCACCTCCGCAGGTCTGGGCGATCACATCTCCCATTGGCTGGGAATGGCGATATGCGGCTCTGCTGTTCTGAATGAAATGTGGAAACAACAGCAGTCCAGCATAAAACTGTCCCAGGTTATAGCACATCAGTACTGAGGGATCTGTCGGGTAAAGAATCCTGTCTGAAAGTGACAAGGAACAGAGATGGAAGAAAACACATTGAGACTGGCGATTTAAAAATAAGGGAGTTGAAAATCAATGGGATATGGGTACCCAGCTCTTCTAGGTTGATTAAAATCCCTGGCTAAGAAGATAAGACCAAGATAGCACGGTGGATTTATCTCTCTAGGTCCCTATCTACTCTTCAGGCAGAACCATGTTGAGTGCAACTAGGTTCTGACACAAAACAAAAATGTTCTTGTGAAACCTGTTGAACTATTACAAATGAATTCCTAAAAGTTAGAGCTTCACAAATAGAAAGGGGGCTAAATGAATTGGGTGAATTATCTGTATTAAGTAACTCAACCAGTTGTATTTGCATATGTATGCACATTAGAGCTGAGTGAAAATTGGAATTTATATCCTGCAGGCAATTCTGATATGTTGACATTTTATTTGTCCTGAATTAAGTCAAAAAAGTCAAAGTAGAGGCATTTTTTCACAGAAAGAAATCTCAGAAAAAATGTACATGTAAAAAGGTTGGATTTTATTTTGACATTTTGGATTTAAAATGAAACATTTTGACATATCCAAGATGAGATATTTTGTTTCAGCTTGAACAAAAATTAAGCGTTTAGTTTAAATCACTTCAACATTAAACTACATTTATCTCCATATGGTGCCATACCACTTCCTCCGAGCTGTAGTTCTGATTTTCCATGTCCTCATTTTTGTATGGGCTGGGCATCCTGGCTGAAATACATATTCAGTGATGCACCCTGCAGCTTGGTCAGCGAGGAAACTGCAAGTCTCAGAGCTGCAGCCACTTTACTCTGTATCTGCAAAAACAGTGAGGAGTCTGTGGCAACTTAAAAACTGAGAGATTTATTTAAGCATAAGCTTTTGTGGGTAAAAACCACTTGGATGCATTGGAGTGGAAATTACAGAGGCAGGGGTGTGTGTATATCTATATATATCTATAGATAGATAGATATGTACTAGGGATGTTAGATATTGGGTAATTGAGTAGTCATGTAGCCGCATGAATTCTTATCGGTGACACAACTATTCGATAGTCCCCAGGGGCAGGGCTGGCAGCCAGTGTGCTCTGGACCCACTCCTAGAGAGCCCCCTGCCATCCCTCACTTCTGTCTCTGTATCATAAGCAACAGTGCGGGGTGCCAGGTGAGAGTCGATCAGCCAGGGGAGCCAGTCTAAAAAAACAGTTCCCCGTGCAGACTGGCTGCCTGCCGCCCCATGCTGCTACCTCTTATACAGAGTCAGAAGCACGGGATGGCAGCAGCCCCTGTTCATGGGGGTCTGAGCTCCTTGCAGACAGAGGCTGCAGCTGGGAGGGAGGGAAAGGAGTGGGCGAGGTTGATATGAAGCAGCCTCTATCCACGGCATCCCAGGTTGGTAGCGGACAGTGCAGGTCTGGCAGCAGCCCCTGTCCGTGGGGGGTCTGAGCTTCCCATGGACAGAGACTGCTCTGCTTCCTACAGGGGCTGCTGCTGCAGAGCAGCCTCTTCTCATGGCAGGCCCAGGCTTTCTGTGGACAGAGTCTACTTCGTGGCAGCCTCCTTTTCCTCCCTCTCCTACTGCTGCCTCTGATAGAGGCAGCAATGTGGTGGAGGGGAAGGCAACACTGCAGAGCTAGTGCTGGGGGGAACTGGCTTTTAAGCAGAAATGCGTGTAGCCAACAAAATTAACTGATAAGGCTTATCAGTTAATCGTATAGTTGACTACACGTTGTGGTCCCTAATATATACTAGTATATCAAAAGAAAGGAGTTACTTGTCAAAGGTAGGACCAGTCTCAAGGAGGCCAATTCAGTCAGGATAGATGTGGCTCACTCTCAGCAGCTGATAGGGAGGTGTGACTATGAAGAGAGGGAAAATTGCCTTAGTAGTGAGAGAACCATTCTAAATCCTTATTCAGTCCTAATTTGATCATGTAACATTTGCAAATGAATTGCAGCTCTGCTGTTTCTCTTTGTAGTCTGGTTATGAAGTTTTTTGTAGAAGGATGGCTACTTTTATATCCATTACTGAATGTGCAGGGAGGTTAAAGTGTTTTCCTACTTGTTTTTGTATGTTATCTTTATCAATGTCTGATTTGTGCCCATTTATCCTTTGGCGCAGAGACTGTCCTCTTTGCCCAGTGTCTAAATTACAACTCCTTCAAGGCAACGAAACACCACAGGAGATGCAGCTTTACATTGAACTGACTTGAAACAGTTAGGTTCAGTTCAGCAAGCTAATCAAAAGAATATATGTAATTTTGATTTTCCTGGCAGAAAATTCCCTACCAGTGCTAGTAGATGTGAACTGGGTAACATAAAGACAAAATAAAACATCAGGGAGAGGACCTTTAAGATAAAAGTTGGCCAGAAAAGAACAAACTTAAATCCATATTGGAGATTTTTGACCTCCAGAAATATAAATTGGACAGTTCTATAGGAGACAAATTTAAGACAATTTACCTGATAATGTGAAAAGCGGTTAAGTTAAATTATGACTGAATTAAACATAATTTCATTTGCTCTTGTTCATTTGCAGGACCAGAAGATTTATGTGTATGGCTTACAAGGCATGTGTCCTTTAAACACTCCACAAAAGGGATTAGACACTCCGGCTACTGTAAGCTGCTTCTTAGCAGTGCCTGTTGTAAAAAAGGTAAAGAGGAATGTTTCTCACAATTGGAAAAGCATATCAGTGAAATTAAAACCTCTATTTATGGAACCAGGAGCCCAAGAATATGCTGTTTTTCACTGTCCTCTGCATAGCAAAAGGACATTGCTGTAACTCCTCTATAGTAAAACTTGCTGGCAGAGCAAAAAGAGCAATTTGCAGATCTCTGTGTCCAAGCCACGGAGAGCAGAGGCCTGAAAATGGTAGAGGGGAGAACCTGAGGTTTAGAAACGGCACTTCAGAACTTTCTGGGAAAGTAGTCAAAATACACCTGCTTTCTTGCCATTGAAGCTTTCCAGCTGCATTTCCACTTTATCATTAAAAAAAAAATATTGTAAGCGAATGAGAAAAATGGGTAGATGGGAAGTGACTGAGTGATTAGAATAGATATTGACTAATCCACATAGAAGGACACGAGCATTTCTTTTAAGTGCATATTGGTTGGACAGTCTACATGCATGCAGTGTACAGGAGGCCCCCGAGATGTGACCGCCCGAGTTCCGACCCCCCACACTTACAACCATTTTTGTAAGTGCGGAAGGGGCCAGAAACCCCCGACTTACGTCCTCAGCACACATTTATGACAGCGCACAGCGCCTATCGTAAATGGAGGGTTTGAGTTACGATGCCCCCGACTTGCGATGCTTTCCCCGGAACTGATCACGTCACAAGTTGGGGGCCTCCTGTATACATATCACTTATGCCTTAGCGACACATCTTTTTTCCTTGGGTTGGGAATTTGGATACAACAAAATATCAGGTTAGGATATTATCTCTCGTAGGTAATAACAAAGGGAGGCATTATGTGGTATAGAGCTCATAATCTTATTTTTTGGAGACATTTGAAGCCCTATCCTCAGCACGCTCTTAAAGGAAATGTGGCATTGTGACATTATTGGCTATTGCAAAATATTTATATATAAACATGTTCTGATTGGTTAGATTATCCTCAGTTTTACCTGTAACAATCTAGAGTGAAAACAACACATTATTATTCATTTATTTTCAATATTTCTAATTACATAAAAGCTTATCAGAGCGTACTACGCCAAGAGAGCCTATGTTTATTAACTGCACAACACAGTTTTCACAGAGGTTGTAGGGGATTATTTGATTATGTGCCCATTACTGTGTTATAGGGATGTAATAGTGTAGTTGATTAACCGATTAACCAATAAGCAAAAGCTTATATGTTAATACTATAGACTACATGCATTCTCCTCCCCCCGAGTAAATTTTTTGGCAGGCTGGCCAGTAGCCTGGCTCAGTCCCGGCTTGCGCCAGGTCCAGGACCTACCCCTGCTGTGTCTCTGCATTTAAAGTGTATTAGGAGCCTGGCAGGCAGGCAGCCTGGTTCAGTTCCGGCTCACGCCGGGTCCGGGAGATCTGAAATCACCTCACTCGCCCACACTGGGATTGCAGCCAACCTGCACTTCTGCCTCTGTATCTGAGGCAGTAGCATGGAGCAACAGGTAGACAGTCCGTGAGGGGCGCTGGTTTTTAAACTGGCTCCCCTTGTGGACCAGTTCCCGCCTGGCACCCCACACTGCTGCCTCTGATACAGAGGCAGCAACGGGGAGTGCTAGGGGGCTCGTTGGGAGTGGGACCAGAGCGCACTGGCTGCTGGCTCCACCCCCGAGGACTATAGAATAGTCGAATAACTAATACAAATTCATTAGGTTAATTGACTATTCAATTAACCAATATTTAACATCCCTATTGTGTTACTGTGCATTTCTGTTCAGTGGCTCAGAGTGCTAAAGGTGTGAGTTTTACTTACAAGGTGCATGGACCTGGGGCTAGCACAGGAATTAATTTCACCCCTGTGAGGCTGCTTTCTGTTGACTTTTTTCCCGTCTCCCAAAGCTACAGAGTTTTTCCTCCACAATGTTAGATGCCTGATACCTCATTTATCTTTCTTCTGCTACTTTGTATTTTGTCCAAAGAAGTAGAATGTCTGTCATTTTGAGGCTTTCTGCTGTCAGTCTGATTACAGTTCTGTGGGATTTCTAGTGTGTTTTGGGTCTCCAGGTTTATCATTCCAGATTGAGATAGGTCTAATGAATGTAATAAATAGTTCAAGGCCCTGCAATAATATTGAAGTGAGACTGTTCTCCCGTCCCACTCTGCCCCTCTCCGTGCCTCCATATAAGTCTTTGCAGCAGAATTCTTCATAGGCCATTTTTTCCTCCTTTCTGTGAACACTTATCTGTGTATGTCCAGGTCAATAACCAGGAGGAAATTCAGGCAAGGTCTGCAAGAATCTAAACTGTTTACAAGAGTTGACAATTTTGCTCAGTAAGAATCAGAAGGCCTGTCGTGTTAAGCTGTCGAGCTCTCTGTACAGAATGAGCCTCTGGGAAAAAAAATCTAGTGGAGAAAAGAATCTTTCATTGAGGTGGATGGGAACATCGGCCTTTTCCAAGTACAAGAGCCAGCTAGCTGATGAAACCTGCAGTAACACGCAGTCATATCACTGCCCTGAGATTTTCCTCAAAGGGAAGTACTTTTGACTGGCTACATTTGAGATGTCAGATCCAAATAATAGTTTCCCATGCCTCTTTTCTCATCCAAAGGAAACATCATAGATACTTGAAAGAAGCAGAGTGAAGCCCTGAAAATAAACTCTCCCCCTCAAAAGACCCCCAGAACAAAACAGATGAAAGTGTAACTTTGGAGGTTAATTTTTACAATTAATGATTATGACCAGATAACAATAAAACTCTCCAGATCCCCCCCACCTTAAAGCAAATTACGTTCCAATCTGTTTTCAGTATTTTCTCAAAGAAAAGCATGAGAGAGGTTTGAACGTGTGTCAGGACCTGGCCTCCATCAGAGCCTAGAACACATGAAAACAAATTTGCATGTAAAGGCTATAGCCTGCCAACATCGTCTGTGCCAGAAGGATCAGCCAGGGAAGTGGGATGGGGGAGTGACAAAGTCTGTGTTTGAGGGCTTCATTTACCTGGGATCTGATGAATTCCAGAAGGCCTTAAACTATACACTGTACTGTGGTTGTGCAGACAGACCATCTTGGCATAGGCTCATCCTCTGTGCTATACAATACAGCACACGCCCCCATTTAGAGGCCATTCTCACTGGCACAGCTGGACTTTTGGCAGGCCAGAGGCTTCTAAGGCAGTTTTCTTTCTGTGTTTTCGTTGGCTCCTCTCTCAGCTAAAATGTTGAAAGTGAATTCTGAGAAAGTTACTTAATGTTGAGGCTGCTGAGCTGCTTGGCTTTGGTCGCTTTTTTAATGACATGGTTTGGAGACTGTGATGGGGGAGGACCCCCTGGGGACTGTCACCTGATGTGCCGAGACCCCACTGACCATGCTTTTCCTGACCGCCTGGGCACCCTGTAGCCCTGTCTTGCTGAGCCCAGCTCTCCAGCCTACTTCAGCACAGACACGGGCACAGGGCCACACCCCAAGGCTGCAGACACACACTGTAAGCAGCACAAGGTGAGACCCTTTCCCAGCACTCAAATACATAGCCCGTCTGAGAGCTGAACCCTTGATAAACCATTTTATGCTGCAGAAAGATCTCTACAGCATAAGCTCATGAAATTCTCCCTTTCAGTGAACAGAGGGATATGCACAGACTCCATGCCCCCTCTCACAATTATTTACACTGGATTTATTAATAAACAAAAATGATTTTATTAAGAATAAAAGGTAGGATATAAGTGGTTATAAGAGACAGTACATAGAACAAAGTAAGTTATTAAGCAAAGTAAAAAAAAGAGAACACACGAGCTAAGCTTAATACACTAAAGCAGCTAGTTACTTGGAATATCTCACCCTAAAAGTTGTTCTAATAATCTTCACAGACTAGACATTCTTCCAGCCTGAGCCCAGTTCCTTCTTCGAATTCAGTCATCTTCCACAGGTTGGCCAGGAAGAACTGATGACCTGGATTACCTCACTCCCACACTTAAATAGGTTTTGCAAAAGGCAGGAATCCTTTGTGTTCTGTCTAAACTTTCCCTCCTCTCTTGAGGATAAATGCAGCATCCAAGGTAGCTCCCAGCATCAGGTCACATGGCCACCTGTCTTGATAGGACCCACTATAGCCCCTCCTCGCAGGCTTACAGGAAAAAAAACCCAGTCTATTCACAAATCATTGTCCTGAGTATAGGGCCATTAAGTTCCTTAAGTATTACTAATGGCCTTCACTTAGCATCTGAGCATGACTACAATAGTAACACAGGTTTATACTTCATATTTCTAACTTCAAATACAGGAATGATACATGTATACAAATGGGATGATCCTATTCAGTAGATTACAACCTTTCCAACAATATCTCAGATGAAGTATCTCACATAAAGTATAGTCCACTTATGCCATATTCATAAGAATAGTTCCACAAAGAATATAGAATGCCCTGTGTCACCGAGGTGAGGGGAGTCACCAGTTCCTGCACCCCATTATCCCCACCCCCACTGCTATCTGCAGTCAGATGTGACTCTCACCAGAAGGTAGAACAGGTTTATTAGTTGATAGGGACACAGCATAGAACACGCTTGTCAGCACAGTAACTAGTACAGTACAATTCACCTTAGGGAGGGAGGGCTCAGAGCCAAGGGCCCTTACCCCCCTCCCTGTGGACCAAACCAGTGAGACTAACTCACATTCAGCAGCTCATCCCAGCCCTACAGCCAGCCCTGCCTCCCACCTTTGTCCTGCTTCCCGAGCAAAAGGTGGCACCTGGTCACACCCCCCCTCTCACGCTCAGGTTACAGAATCATCAGCCACTGTGTACATGGGGAAGGCTATTGCACGAAAATTCCCATCACCATCTAGGTATTAATGTAGTGCCCAGGGAAACTGAGGCACACGCACACAGGGTTACTACAGGACAGTAGAAATCACATGCACCATAACGAGGGGAATAAAATCCCTACAATCCCCACTTTGTCACGCCCTGTCACAGAGACGTCTACCTTATGTCCACCACCTCCCAACACGCTTGTGCCTTGATAGCATCAATGAAGTGGATAGCTCTTGTGAGTATGTGGCTTTCATAGCACTTGCATGCTAAGTGGCTGGCACCCTCACCTCAGGAGATGCAGTAACGAACGTGGTTCAGGGCCCTTCTTCGGGCAGGAATTCTCATGCCGTGCTTTCCAAAGTGGTGAGGGCAGCCTCAGCGCCTGAATAAAACGCTTGAGTCATGCTGTGGCTGAGCATCAAATGGCTGCTGAATTTGCCTCCACAATGCTTGTGTTAAGGAAGTCAAATTGTTTTGTAATATTCCTTGGGATCTATTGGGCCCGATCCCCAGCAGTTACACCGCTTTGTGGACTTCAATGGAGTTATGCCGAATTATACACTCTGGCTTCATCTATACTGGCAGCTTCATGCGCAAGAACTCTTTTAACCATAGGGCTTTCTTGCACAAGAAATTCCTGTTGCCTGTCTACGGTGGCCTCTTGCGCAAGAACAGTTGCGCAAGAGGGCTTATTCCTGAGCGGGAGCATCAGAATTCTTGCGCAAGAAGCCCTGATTTCATACATTAGAACGTCAGTTTACTTGCGCAAGAACACACGGCCAGTGTAGACAGGCAGCAAGTTTTGCGCAAGAGCGGCCGCTTTGACGCAAGATCGTGCCAGTGTAGACACAACCACCGAGAAGCTGGCCTACTGAATCAGAAAGCTGCCTTGTGCTGGTCTGTTGTAGCTGACGCTAACCAAGGAGATCAAATAGACTTTTTATGATGCTAAACCAAAAGAAATACAGCACTTGCTAGTCAGACTGTCCTCTCCCAAGATGCTTAGTCATGGAGAAGTTTAAAAGCTCCTAACGGTGTCTCAGTGCTGGGGAAGGGTGGGAAGGGACACCATGGAAGGAATGAAAGGCCAGAGAATAGCTTTCACTCTCCAGTTAAAGCCTGCTAAAATGTGGCCAGTAGAACTGCCTGAAAAATTCCCATCAAAATTCGTTTAAGATAAAGTGGCCTTCTGTGATGTCCTGTTTGGGAAAGCCCAGCCTGTGAATTACTGTGTTAACCCTCTACCACAGGAAAAGTGTGAGCTTTAAGGCTGCTACACTGTGTCAGCTCCCTGGTGCACCAGTCTGTCCGCCTTGCAGCAAACTCTTCAAGACTCGGGATAAGCCTGGTCTTGCACGTAACAATCAGTAAATCTCAGTTCCCCAGAGCTGTCCACTGCAGTGCCCCATCACTCACAATGGACACTCCCAGAAATGATGCGTTTGCTGCCTCCAAAAGGACAGCGCATGCATTAACCTGCCAGGTTAGCAGAAGAGTCACACGTAATACACAGCAGTGAGATTTGTAACAAGAATAGGTTTGTTAACAAAGAACAGACATCTAAGTGACACTAAGCCAGGGAGAGAGACAGGTCTGGCTATACATGAAATAAAATAGAACACTTTGTGTTATCTAAAGCTTAATCTTGGCATGTTCAAATCTGCCTAAACCATTTTCTTATTCACAGAAATACTTGTATAAAGTTACCAGCATCTTCATCCCTCCAGGCCAAGGGATCCACCTTTCACAGGCTCACAGACTGCTGTTCCCAGTGTCCCCTAAGTCACTCAAACATCTTTTCATTCCCCTTTATGTTCTGTATACAGATGTTGATTTTTTATGTCATCAGACCTAAATGGCCTATGCCTCACGGCCTTGTGTAACTTCCTTTCTCCCTGTGTGATAAGCTAAAATTTGTGGAGGTGCTTGGGCTAGAATTTCTTACTTATACTTGGCAGGAGGTTCTCTGGGAGGGCCCTTTACCTTGAAACTTATTGCCTCTAGTTTGGTCTGAAGGAGTCTGAATTTGCTGATCTGTTGGGCATGCTGCAAAGTACATGTTTGTACCAGGGGTGAGTCCTGGTTTGAGGGCTGGTACCTTGGGAAGGTAAGGTACTTGTCAGGGTTTGGCTGGCCTGCTCCTTTGTCTGGGGAAGTATGGCCACAAGTCTGATGAGCAAGTGTTAACAGATACCGAATACCTGGGATAGACACCTTCTTACAGTCGGATACATTGGAACAGCCCAACTCTCCCCGTGTGAGGTGAGCATTATTCTGTTTCACAGACGGGGAAACCAACTCATAGGGAGGATTCTGGCGTATGCCCACAGTTGCACATGGAGTCAGATTCCCACAATACCCATTTCCCCCTCTGACCACTGTCTCCTAGGTTTTCACTGTCATTGGGACAATCTGGCCACGCAGACGGTGTGACAAGCCATAATGTTCTCTCTCTTGCTCACTGCTTTGTTACGCTTTGAGCATTGTGCCATAGTAGAGCAGTGTCGGAATAGCAATCTATGCTGTGCATAATTTGACATCTGACTTTGGTTGCCACACAGAGGAGACCCTCTTGTGTTGAGCATGACTGCAGCACAGAACTTTGTTTTGGCTAGGATGAAATCCATGCAGCATGCGACTTGCTCTCTGTGCTGTAAGTTGCCATAGCCATGAGTGTGTTCATTAATCATAGGGCATTTTTTATAAGTACCTTCAAATCCTCCATCATGCTTGTCAGCCTGTTCTCTGTAAGTTCTGCTGACATCTCCACATGTGTACAGCATAGCCTGGGGCCCCACGCCTGCACCCTTCATGTGGCCACTTCATTGGGATGACGCAAGAAGTCATTCTTCTGCTCTACTCTGTGCTGATTAGGCCTCAATTGGAGTATTGTGTCCAGTTCTGGGCACCGCATTTCAAGAAAGTTGTGGACAAATTGGAGAAGGTTCAGAGAAGAGCAACCAGAATGATTAAAGGTCTAGAGAACATGAGCTCTGAGGCAAGGCTGAAAGAATTGGGCTTGTTTAGTTTGGAAAGGAGAAGACTGATGGGGACATGATAACAGTTTTCAAGTATCTAAAAGGATGTTACAAGGAGGAGGGAGAAAAATTGTTCTCCTTGGCCTCTGAGGATAGGACAAGAAGCAATGGGCTTAAACTGCAGCAAGGGAGGTTTAGGTTGGACATTAGGAAAAACTTCCTACCTGTCAGGGTAGTTAAACACTGAGATGAATAAGTTGCCTAGGGAGGTTGTGGACTCTCCATCACTGGAGATGTTCAAGAGCAGGTTGGATAGATACCTGTCAGGGATGTTCTAGATGGTGCTTGGTCCTGCCATGCAGGCAGGGGACTGGACCTCTCAAGGTCCTTGCTAGTTCTAGTGTTCTGTGATTCTGTGAGGCTTGCTGTCAGGGGAGTCACTGCCTGTGGAGCAGTGTGCAGGGCATTGGGCGGAGGACCAAAAATTTCATTTTCTGCTTTGCCAACGTGGTTCCCATAGCAGAAGCACTGCTCTGCTTTATTCCTTGTTCGCACTAGGCAGCCTTCAACAGTGGGATTCCCAGGCACATGCAAGTGTATCACAGCCTGAGTTTGTTAGCCTTTAGGGGGGACTGTATTGTCCATCCCTCCTCCTGTACCTGTAAGTGATGGGGGATGGTTAGGGCTGGGGAGGGGGAGCCGAGGGCTTGTGCGTAGGTTCATTTGGGTTTTTTTAAATAGTGACATTGTTTCAGGGTGGTTTAGTTTGCTTTTTGGAAGGCTCTATTTAGGTATTGTTGGGGCACCTGGCATGTTGGATGAGGAAAATGATAAACATCTACATGGAGATACAAGTGTCTTTCTCTCTCTCTCCCCCACAGAACTCCTATCTGGTGCTGGCTGGCCTGTCAGATGGACTGGTGGCAGTTTTTTCAGTGGCACGTGGTATCCCAGATGACAGTGGCTCCTACTTGTGCTCACACACTGCAAATAGATCCAAGTTCAACATCGCGGACAGTGACCCCCGGCAGAACCCCTACCCTGTGAAAGCCATGGAAATAACAAACAGCGGGGCTGAGGTCTGGTACAGCAATGGCCCTGGCATTCTCATCATAGACTGTGTGACCATAGATATTAACAGGAGGCTGGAGCCCTACAACCCTCCCTCTGTGATCACGTCGATGGCGTGTAACTCAGAGTACCACGGGGAGGAAGTGATATGGTGCCTGGACGATAAAACGAACTACCTGGTGATGTACCATACTGCCACCTATCAGCTCTGCGCGCGGTACTTCTGCGGCGACTGCAGCCCTTTAAGAGACATGTTCACAATCCAGCCGCCTACCGCAGGGATCCCTGCTACAACAGCTATACACAGGACAGTGCTTGAGAGTAACTCTCTGGCTGATATGAGCATTATCTACAGCCAGGAGCTGGGCACACAAATATTAAACCATCAGGACTCCCTCACAGACTACTGCTCTGTGTCTTCATACTCGTCCTCCCCTCCCAACAGGATAACTCGGTCCTCCTCCAGTCTGCCCAGCTCCCCTGCAAGCTCATCCAGTGCACCTTTCTCCATGGAGTGCGAGCCGTCCGGCAGGCTTCACGAACCCGTCCCTTCCCCAGACACATCTGAAAACCATGCAGCACTGACGGACAAGCACGCAGAGCATCTCCAAGCTGTAAAGGTTCTTGCAGTAAAAGACCTCATCTGGATCCCTAGGTGAATCATCCCTTAAACCACATCCACAGCAAACCAGACCTGAGTCATAAGGGGTGGTTCTGGGAAGCTCTCAAGAGCTTGGGGGTTGTTTCTAATTGCTTCACATCAAACTTACCCATGATGGTGCCTGGCAGTAAGATACAGCAAAGAAACCACGTAGCTGTCCAAGAGTTTCAAGTTAGAAACCAACATTTCGGCAACATTTGGGTGGTATCTAGTATTGCTTCGTTAGCAAATGTGGGGCCTTCCAGTAGGACAAGAAATCACAATACAAATCCAATATGTTACTGATGCCATCTTGTTTATTTCCCTGCCCTCCCCCCAAAAACGTATTCAAAATCTTGTGTCTTTGGACAGAGTAGAAACAAACATCGCCAGGTAGTTTTCTTGCCCAGAAACCCCCAAGTCTGCCACTCCTGTGACCCCTCTGCACAAGGAGCTGGTTCTCTGGCTCCTGTCTGGGTCATGTTTGCTGCTGCTTTTTCCCCCACGGGTATGTCTACACAGCAGTGTAAGCTAGTGCTTGTGGAACTAGAGTCAGTGGACCCAGGGTTAGAAAACTTAGTGCTTCAGCTTCTACTCTGTCAGCTCGAGGTAAAATTTTCAGACCTGGACCTGAACCTGGGGCTTCAGCATCCACACCTAGTTCTCAGATCTGAGTCCGACCAGCCATATCTCAGATTTCCTTAGTCCCTCCCAACATGTGGCCGCTCTAGGCCTTTGTTCATGACGCAGCGTGGGAAAACTCAGCTGTTCACCAAATGTGACTGTCCAGAGGACAAAGAAAGTCAGGGTGTAGGCTTCAGGGATACTTTGGTGGGTTCCCAGCACGAGTCCACTGGGGCTGAGTCCCCACTGCACAGCTTGAATCCTGGGGCCTAGATTGACTCAGACTTGGACCTTCCATTGCCAGGGCATCTCTAGAGCCTGGCCCTAAGTTAGCATAACATAGTGTAGACTGATGGGGGTTTGGCTTGACTTGAGCCTGAGTTCAAGCCCGGGGCTTCCATTGCCCTGTAGATGCAGTCTAACATGCACATACCCTGCTACCAATACCTCTGCATTTGCAGCTTGGCAAATCACTCCGGCTTTGTTTACACTTTCGGCGCTTTCCACTGAACCGGTGGCCACAGCACAGGCGCCGGGAGAGAGCTCTCCCAGCACTCTGGGTAAACCACCTCCACAATGGGAGTAGCTAATAGGACGGGAGTGTGGCTCCCATTGCTGTAGCCTCGTTCACGCCGGCGCTTTACAGCGCTGTAACGTGCTGCACTTGGAGGGGCTGGCGGGGGTGTGTTTGCAAGTTATAGTGCTTGCATGTCCTAGGGGTGACCTGCACGGTGGCATGTTGCCTTGAGTGGGCCCCATTGTCTGCACTTGCTTTTATACGTGAGGAGCTTGATGGAGCCTCCTTCTGAGTCTGAAAGAGACTGTTTGGAACGCCGGCCATCTTAAATGAGCTCTGTGATCATCTTTGGATCTCAGACCTATCCCCTGCTGGCAGCCTTCAGCAGATGTAACCGGGGGAGCTAGGGTAGCACTGTGAACGCTGCTTTTCCTGGCTGTCAGTGGCCTCTGTTGTCGAACGTGACTGTCTCACTTTTGTCTGTAGGAGGGGTGGCGACATCATCGTTATCGGGCTGGAGAAGGAATGTGACACGCAGCGCGGCAGAGTCATAGCTGTACTGAAGGCCGGGGAGCTGGCTCCCTATGGGTGAGATTGAATTAGAGCTTGTATTTCATGATCACAATAGATTCCATCAGGGACGGCACGTCCAGTATCAGAGTGGAAGGCCTGCAATCCTCTAATTGGCCTTTCTCCCTCCGGGCAGTGTTTCTGAAAGTGGTCAGCTAAACCTCTGGAGAAACCTGTTAACTGGTCGCTCCAGTGTGTTTACTTACCAGCGCCGTGGCCACAAAGCCTCGCAACTCTCATTAGCACCGGTTCGCCATTTGCAGCCAAGGGGAGCCATGGGAAGCACCATAGAGCAAGCTCCCAGCTTGAAGAGTCACTGTGATTCAGGTTGAATTACACAGACAGGCCTCCAAGCCGAGTTAGAGCATCCCTGCAGCTGGGATGGCCCTGGATTGGTAGAGCAGAGCATGCTGTGACTTGGCCCTTCCTGCTCCTTATACTGTGACAAGCAGGAGAAGTTTGGATTGATCTGGCATGCAAGAAAAGCACTGTTCCATCTGGCTTCTTCGAGCAATGGGCATGATCTGACCCAGAAACATCACAGCAAGTTGCATCTCCAGATCCCTAATTATTTGCCTTATTTCCTAGGCCAAGTTGGCATTAAGATAACACCTCTCATTTTGCAATAACTCTTGGCCCAATCCTGCCAGGTGCTGATGTCCCTGGGCTTTGCAGGCACCCAGCTTTTGGAGATCCTCAGTGCTTGGCAGAATCAGGCCCTGCACTAAGAACAAGAAGTGTATTTACTAAAGAGTGCAGTGCTCGTCTGTGGCTTCATTCACTCAGAGCAGGTTGAAGTTCTGGCTCTAAATGAGCACCTTTGTACCAGCCATAACTCCTGGCACCCTGTGGAAAACAGGGATATAAATTTAAAATGCTCGATGTAGCAACAGAGCTTCCAAGAAAATAAATAACTGTGGTAGAAGGTTGGGTTGTTTTTTGCTGACTGTTTAAATACCAGACAAAGAATATGGAAGTTAAGTTGTGCTGTGTGTCATGAATTAAGGGTGTTAAGTATCGAGTAACTGACCAATCAAATAGTCAATGCATTTTGCATCGACTATTTGAGTTGAAAGGGCACCTCCGCCTTTGAAAGTGCCACGTGGCAAAATCGCCATGTGGAGCCCAGGGTCAGCTGGAGCCTGGGGTCAGCCACAGAGACATTTCAAAGTGGCAGCGCTGCACAGAGCTGGGGGTCAGCTGGGGAGTCCCCAGCTGATTCTGGGCTCCATGTGGCGCTGCCGCTTTGAAACGCCGCAAGCAGCCTGGGGACTCCCCAGCTGGCCCTGGGCTGCACACGGCTTTTCAAAGCAGCAGCGCTGTGTGGAGCCCGGGGTCTGGCCCCAGGCTTCAAGCGGTACTTTGAAGTACCCCCTCTCCTTCCCTCCCCTTGCTGCCTCTATCTGACAGAGCCAGCAAAGTGGGGGAAGCGACTAGTTGACTAGTCCTTCACATCCCTATCATGAATTGCCATTGATCAGTACACAGCATAGGTCAGGGGCGGGTAAGACAACCTCTGTGGGCCAGATTCGGCCCACCAAGCCCGAGGGGCCTGCAGCCACCCTGCTGTTCCCCCGCTTCCAGGCCAGTTGAGACCCAGGGATGGGGGAATGCGCGAAGTTGCCTCCTCTGCCAGGGGCGCGCGGCACCACAGGGTCCCACCAGCTGTTTTGAAACACCAGGTGATTCTCTCTGGGGCCGAGTGTGGGGGGCAAGACTTCATGCACTCCCCACCCCAAGCCAATCAGGGTCTGTGGGCAGGGGAGTACAAGAAGTCTCCTGATCCTGCCCCCTCCATCCAAGCCCCGCCACTACATATATTTATGAAAATTTTTAAAAATGTCCCCCCTTTTAAAAATTATTGCCCACCCCTGGCATAGGTCTTATGAAAGCAAAGGCGTCCGTTCATTCACTCCTCTTGTTAATTTGTGTCTTGGCCTAGTGGTATAGTGCTTTGGCCTTTTCATTGCCTGCATAGGCCCATTTGTCTAGGTGGACTCATTTCAGAGATTCACCCTATTAAAAAAGAAAGAAAGAAAAGTCGGGGGAGTAGAAGTGTAGATGAAATGTCCGTTGCTAGACGTGTCCCATTTTACAGTGTTGCAGCGTGGCTGATTCAGGCACAAAATAGTTCAGCTCGTCCCTGTGCCATAGCCAGAAGGGCCCTCTTGGGTGAGCAAGAATTGGGGAGCGGAGAGGAGTGGGATAGGAGGGAGGGAAGGGGTTAAGACCCGACCCTGCTCCCTGGCCAGAACGCTGGGGCATAGCAGGGTAGCCCCCTGGGTGGGCCTGGATGCAGAACGTGTGGGCCACAGTTGATGCAGACCCACCAGTGACTGTGCCCTGACTCGTCCTCTATCAGCAGGATGAAAATGATGAAAAAGCCGACAGTGTTGCACTCCCAGTAACAAGTTACCCGCCCAAGCTGTGGAGGCATTTGCAAGGCTGCAGCATCTCTAACAGAGCCAGATATCGTGCTGTCTCCCCCATGAGTGGGGTGGTGGGGTTAAAGTGGCTTCATTAGGGGCTTCTGTGACCTAGGACAACTTCCCCACAGCTGCCACATACTGAACTGCCACATACTCCTTGGCCCTGCTGGGGCAGTTTCCTTTACCTAAGCACTCCTTGGGAGAATGGCGTAAAAAAGCCAAGCAAGCACTGAATCCAATCAATGAACACATTATGCAGCAAATTCTGCAACCTTTCCTCCCACTGAATAGTCCCACACTTTGTGAGCAGCTGCAGTGCAATCAGTGGGATGACGTTTACCATATCTGGCCCTACATGAATGCACGGTGCTGTTGTCATCAAACAAGACCCATAGAACTGTCACTGTGTTGGGTTTCTCAACTAAGACAAACCCTACGCAGCCAGCGCTTCTCACTTTGCCTGGGCTGCTGTTTCTTAGGAGAGCAGCGCTCCTCTCACACTCTGTTTTCCAAACCTGTTCTTGGTTTCCCAGGGCGCTGGTCGAAGCTGCTATCGTGGCAAAGGACACTGTTGTGTGCTGCTTTGAGAACAAAAACATGGAATGGTGCCTCGCTGTTTGGAGGAGCTGGGGTGCCCGGGAGTTTGACAATTTCTACCAGTCCTATGAAGAGCTGGGAAGGCTTGAAACCTGCATGAGAAAAAGACGGTAGTGCTGGTCAAATTTAAAGTCAAGCATCAAGGAAGGACGGGAACAGAAACTGACGCTCTGCAGCATTCCAGTCTGGGTACTGTTCTATACTTAGAGAAGAGTTGAGCATTTTTGTTTTCCACATTTGCTGCTAAAGAACACTGTAGAGCATTTGCCAGAGACTCAGATGACCGAACTAGATACTTTACTCTTTGTTTCCTCCTTTCTTTTCAGCAGAGGACAGAGATGTATTAAGCTAGAAAGCGGATGATCCCTCCGCAATATTGCCTTCATGTGGACCACCCAAACTCTCCACCTATGTCCAGTCAATTCTCGCCTCCTTTCTTCCCCTGCAAAATTCCCACACATCAGGGCAACTGCTGCTTATGTCCTCATCCAAGAGAGCTTTATTAACTACACAGACACATCTCTCTCCCTCAGAGCCTGAGCTTTTGCACAATTCTCCTACCGCCTGCTGTCCCAATGGGTGAGAGCCCAGCAATAGTCCTTTTGTGGCCAATATATTTCTGGCCTATAAAAGATATTGTGATACTGAGTTACTGTGAAAGGCCCAAAGATGATGTTCTGTCAGTGAATACTGCACAATCTCAGTACAATGAGCTATTGAATTGCACTGCTGCAAAGTGAATTGTACATAGAGTCCAAAGCAAAGCGAAACATGTCAGCACTTCAGAGGGAGTAACTTAATCAGCACAACTTGGAAACAGTCCTTGTCCCTCTCTTACGCTTCTCTGCAAATTATTTTAAAAGCTCAGTTTACTGGTATATAGAAGTTCTGTTGCTTTTTAAATAGAGCTGTATATAGAGTTTATTTTTCACATCACTAAGGTCACACTGGACCTAGGACAGCATTGGACCAGGTGTAAACACAATCACATTATCAGGGCATGTACAGAAGAATGTAAAAAGTGAAGCAACTCCTGATGAGTGAATGTGTACAGCATGGAATGTGTACAGTACTGAATTGTTTTTATACTGAGAAACTTGTACTGAGTCTGAACATAGATGCAAGGCTGCTTGATGCAGAATTAGCAAGTTAAATGTCAGATTTACCCTTCTACATCAGAAGCAAAACATATCTCAAAATAAACAGACTCCTCCAAGAGTGACACTGCATCAGTGTTACCGTTTATTGGCAGCTCCATGATCAGCTTGAGAATGATTGCATCTGACTAAAGTGCAGGCTGTTTCTCTTCCCCCGCTAGATACCCGAATGGCACAGAAGTCCCTCCCTTATGGCCTCTCCAGCACTGCTAACTAGAGTAGCACATAACTGAGATATTTTAGACCAGATCAGGGTTACAGATGCAATCTGCCTGGAGACCAGTCAAGGGATTATGGGTTTTAAAAAACTACAAGTGGGAAAGACCAAAACCAACTTCATCAATGTGAAGAACATGATCAGCTGTAGGAATTTCACACGTTGGTGGCTTTTCTCACAAGCAGTAACCCTTGGGCATGCATCCCCTCATCTGTGTTTGGCTGTGCGCTACATGGGCTTGATCCAGCACCCAACTGAAATCAGTTAGAATTTTCAGTGGGGACAGGAGCAGGCCCCGGTAGCATGAAAGATCCTATGATCTCGACAGTGCTGCTTAGTATTATTATTAGTTATTATGCACTCCACACCTGGGTGCAGAGCCCCTACCTCCGCCCAACCCCAAAAAGCTCTGACCATCTACAAAACCAGACAGCAATTGAGCAAGGGCCATCAGGAGAATGACTAAGAGGGGTTATACTGGTTGTTTCTGGCGTTGTTGTTAACTCACTTCTCGGGGGCAGCTCAGAGCAGGTAGATCAGTGGTTCCCAAACTTTTTGGCATCACGTCCCCCTTTTTGAAAAACCCTCACGCCCCCCCTCCAAATAGCAGCAAAACTTGTTGAGCAAAAAAAAAAAAAAGGAACTGAACAGGGCAGCAAAACTTGATGGGGGAGGGGGAGGGGAGGTCACCTCATGCCCCCCCCCCTCCCCTGGAATTTCTTCACGCTCCCTCCCCCCCCCAGTTTGGGAACCCATGTGGTAGATCTTAGCAGGGAGGTGAAAGAAACGAAGAGGACTCCACCAAGAAGTGACCATTCCAGGCAGTAGATGAGTGACAGCATCAGAATCTGACCCCAAGATTGTGCCGTCAGAATCACTCTCTGGTAAAACAGCAGCGAAAGGCTTTGGGATTGGGAATTCTCCATCAGCAAGAAGGAATGAGGAAAATGTGCAGTGCTTTGGGGCAGTGCGGTTTGATTTATGTTGCAACATTTGTATTAAACACAGTGAGCAACTTCCTCAGTTGACCAACTCGAACAAGCCCATGGCTCAGCCTTGTGTAAATTTCACTTGTTGTAGGCAAGTAGATGCACATTTTCTCAATTCTCTCCCCCTGCTGCAGGAATGTATAGAAGGGCTGCCAGAGCCTCAAGCCAAAAAGGTGCTCTCAGATTAGATGAATCCATCACAGTCAATAAAACCAAGGCGTTTTTAATTGTCAATTACCAAGACAGCCCACCTAAGGACATACACAGGAGCCATTTTCTAAATGTCAGACTTCTCAATACATGAATAAGCTACAAATAATCTTGCTGTTTAAAAGGCGTCTCAGTTGTAAGAAAAGCTTTGTAACTCATACATCCTACCTGTTTGATCCCTCCCACCTGTATTTATCAGCACTGTTGACTGTACACAGACGAATGATGTCACCACATAGGTCCGGAATACACCACATCCATGCTTAATTAAATCAAAATAGACATGTACTACCGTTTTAACACAACTGTTTGATATCGGTCTTGTTAGTGCTGAAACCTGTCCTCACCTTGCCTGATAGATACATTACTAGCTTGGCTTGCGTCCTTAGCTATTTCCATGGCAAAGCCTTGCAAAGGCCTTAGCAAATTGCCCACTGAGTTCCATGGCCAGTGCAGCTCCCATAAAGCCTCAGCCCTTAGCTAGATGCAGCCAAGGATACACAACTTGTTCCTGCATCTGAAATCTGTTTCCTGGTAGTTTGGCATGCACAAAGCAGAGCTGGGGGTTTTTTTAAGCGTTTAATATTTAATCAGATGTCTTTTCTCTAACATTAAAAAAGCCATCTGCTTGGGGATGTATTTCTCTGTTTTAAAGCATAAGACCAGTGGTCCCCAATGCAGTGCCCTCCGGCGCCATGGCGCCGGCCGGGGCATTTATGTGCGCCTGCCTAGTGACCAGGGCCGGCCCGAGACATTCTTGCGCCCTGGGTGCATGGGCAGCCCCTGCCCCTGGGCGCGTGGCGCATGGACGGCCCCAGGCACGTGGCACATGCGCAGCCCCCCACCCCTGGCGCGTGGCAGCCACAGAAGTTTGGGGACCACTGCATAAGACTAAGGCTATGCCTACACTGCAGGCTTCTTGAGCAAGAACTGTTTTACGCAAGAGTTCTTGTGCAAAAGGTCTTCCACAAGAGCGCGTCCACACTGCCATGTGCTTTTGCGCAAGAGCGTCCATGGCAGTGTGGATGCTCTCTTGTGTCTACACTGCCTTCTTGTGGAAGAGCTCTTGCACAAGAGGGCTTATTCCTCGTGGGGAGAGGAATAACTTGTACAAGAAGCCCTGTTTTCTGATGCTTTACTGTAAATTTACTTACGCAAGAACACGCGTGCAGTGTAGACACTGCAAGTTTTTGCGCAAGAGCAGCTGTTCTTGCGCAAAATGCCTGCAGTGTAGACATAGCCTAAGAGCGTAGAAAGGACATTAGTTTGCTAGGTCATGGCTGCCCTGCACTCCATCATGGCACAAGCAAACGTTTTTTGTTAGCTCATTAGGGCCCTGGTCCTTAGTGTCTTGTCTAAGTAAGAACTGTATGGCTATGAGCTAATATTAGGCTTGAGCCTGTTGTGAGGAGAAAATGGGTCGGAAATCCCCTGTTCTGTAATATGCAATTTTAGTTACCTTTCATGTGATCACTCTGTAGCACTCATTAATAAAGTAAGAATGAAGCCTAGAGAATAGCCGGAGACGGTTAAGAAGCCTTTGCAGAAATACAAGGCAGCTGTAAATGAAAGTGAAGGGAATAGGCGAGGTTCATCAAACCCTCGGTTACGTGCCAGTCATGGCCAGCAGGCACAGATGTGAAAGGAAGAGATGCTAACAAAGGGCAACGGCAATTACATCTTAATAAGCCACCTCTGTTGGAATGAGAACATCTCGTCCAGGATGGAGCCGGGGGCCTGCCCTTGCGCTGTTCTGGATGGATGGAGGATAGATGCATCCCCGCGGCCTGCTTGTTAGCTCCCAGGGTTGGGCAGCACTTCTGCCAGCGTTTACACTATGACTACCACGCTAGGCCCTGGCCTCGCCAGAGGTCTGCGGGTGTTAACACAAGACAAGTAACGTGGTGGTATTCAGGTCTGATTCAGGTCTGGATTTCCCCCCGCTCTCAGGTTGCTTTGCCCTCTCTGAACAAGTGACCTAGCCACTAGTAACCACCTGCTGGTACACCTCATCACAGAGAGCCACAAGAGCAGTTTGTACTCCCCCGTCTCCCACCCCCACAGACAGCATGCCCAGGAAATGGCCATAGCTTCCCTGCCCACCAAAAAGCTCTAGTCTAGCCCTTGGCAAGCAGCATGAATTGAAGCCTTGCTCAGGCTATTGTCATGTCAAGGGACCGGCCTGGTGGCCAGCTGGATGAGGGGAACAGAATGGTGACACCAGTGGAGTGACAATAATTTACAGCAGCTGAGAAACTGGCTCAGGCTTTCTAGACTGATTCTCCTGCTGCATGAAGATCTCACTGGGTGCCAGCGTTGCTAGTGGCAGAGACGCAGCCGCCTTGATTGTTAACTGAGAGCTTGTTTTCACTCGAAAGTCAATTTGGCTGATGGTAGGGTGTGAAATTCAAGGGCAATCGCTATGCCTGACTAATGCCAGCCATGGGCAAGCCCGTCGTCTGTGTCTGGCTGCCAGCGTTACAGTTGAAGAAAAGCAAAGGGGCTGTCTCTGTTACTCGTGAAAGAGTTAGCATCTTGTAACTCAAGGGATGGCTGCACTATGGAGCCTTTCCAGCCATAGCCAGGCTGCCTTTACCCAGTAATTTAGATGCAGCCTACACTGCCGGACAGGGTTTTGCTGTCAGTGTGTAGTGACGCATTCTTCCATTGACATAGCTGTGTCTACACCCTTCGGTGAGTGTAGCTGTAGGGCTCAGGGAGTTGTGTTTTACACACCTGCTGCAATGTGCCTTTTAATTTTTTCCACGTGTGCAGAATAAAGTGTGTTGCATGCACCAGCACATATGTGAATGTGCACCACCATGCAAACACATGCTGTGGGCGCTGGGCTGCATTTGAATCTCTCCTGGGTAGCTGCCCAGGCGCTCAGCTCACAGAGAAAACACTGACCTACTGCCATAGCTCCGGTGACCTAAATTCTAAGTGTAGACGAGGCCTTGGTTTTGAATGAGGTTGTGGTGTTCCCCCTTGTGGGCACTAGAGGGCGCTCCAGCTTCAAGACGATTGGAACAATAGAAGGGTTTTGTTTTGTTACAGACTAAATCAATCCAGCTGGCAAAGTAAGCCCCAGGCACTCAGACCTGTCCTGCAGCACCTGCAGCTAGCCCAGCCTCAGTGTCTGGCTAGCTCAGTGATTTTTTTAAGTCAGCTTTTCCCTAGCTCTCCCTCGGTTCCGCTGCAGCCCTGCCTGCCTGGCTTAAGGCTCTCATTGTTCGTTACCCTGCCTAGCTCCTCCGTGGCAGGATCGTTTTCAGCACGGCTCTTGGGTTCCTGCCATTGGGTTACATTTTCAATTCTAACAAAGCCAAACGGGGTTCGGCATCTGGCCGTCTTGGCAAATTTTATCCACACCACACACCAGGGCTCTATGCACCATTAGCTGAACCACAGAAAGCTGGACGAGTCTGGCATCCCCAAAGAGAAAAGGGGGTGAAATTTACCCCTGCACAGAGGACCTGTCCAATACCTAGGCCCCACGTACATGCATTTTGAGGAAGAAGAGTGTGCAGAGGAGCAATTAGGAGATTTCCGAGCAGCTACAGCCGATATTCAGAGGCACCATTCAGCTTTGTGTTTAGTGGGCTGCTTTTTTTGTTTAAGGGCACAAACTTGCACAGAAACTCTGCTCTCAGTAACCTGATCTGCACAGTATTAGCCATTATACTGCAGTTGGTGAGAACTGCAGAAGTCATCATCATTTATTATCTCCCCCGGCAATGGCCAGGAAGGCCTGGGATTGTGAATCGGGGACAGACAGCACCTCAGTGAAAATAAAAGCACACTTGAAATTCACCACCAAGCGCCTACACTGGCGTGGGGCATTGCCTCCATCTGGGAACCAACTAAGCCAAATGCGCTCTCTACAGCGCCCATCGGAGATGTGACACGACGGCCATGAGGCCAAGAAAATCCACAGCTGTTCTAGAGCCAGCTGGGACGTGGCAAGCACCCTTTCATAATCCGTCTCAGCGGGACTCTGTGCTCAGTGCTGTAAACCCCGGGCAGAGCTAATGTCCCACAGTCCTGTGCTTCTTCAAAAGACCAGCGTGTAGCAAAGGCTAGGGAATAAAATCTGCATACACCACATCTTTGACAATGCAATTTGCACAAGACGTTGGCAAGCAAATCAAGAGCCCTGGTGTGAACGGGGCCAGAATTTCATGCCCCGTCCCCAGGTGTGTGGCCCCTTAGTACCTCCGCAGCTAGAGCTTTCCAGCTCGCTGTGTGGCCATTTTCCGCCCTTCCCCACAGCTCTGCTAGCTTGTGCTCAGCTGCAAGTGCCCTGAGGGGCTTCTCCGGCATCAGACAGTGGCTGGAGAGCAGCATCACTCTGGCAGCATCCATGAGGAGAGGTGGTTTGGTGCAGCGCTGGTTTCGTGGGTGA